TATTCCAGCTAAGTTACTTATTATTGAAAATAAGTTGGTGTTAATCTGAACTATATTTAAAATTAAGGTATTAACTAAAATGCCCAGGGCAACCAACTAAGAAGCTACTTAAAAAAAGAAGGTAAAACGAACATGGCATGAAAATGGTATACTAGAAAATAACACAGTAATGAAGGCATGAAGAACAAAATGAAGACACAGAAAACAAATAGAAAAATGAGAGATATATGTCCTACTCTATCAGTAATTATATTAAATATAAATGGATTAAACAACCCAATCAAAATGTATAGACTGGCAAAAGGATATTTAAAAAAATGATCCCACTGTATACTGTTACCAAGAGATACCTTAGATCCAAAGACACAAATATGGTGAAAGTAAAAGGATGGAAAAAATATAATGCAATGCATCAGTATCAAAAGAGTACTATAAGAGCTATATTATTGTGAGATGAAACAGATTTTAAAATAAAAATTTTTAGTAGGGACAAAGAGGATGTTTTACATTTATGAAACATTTCTTTATAATTATGAAAAAATATATATTTAAATAAATCAAACAATACACTCCTAAATAAACAACAGATCAAGTAGGAAATCATAAGAAAAATTAGAAAACACTTTTAATAATGAAAATGAAAACAACATATCAAGGGTTATGGGATGTAGATAAAACAGTGCTTTGAGGTAAATTTATATGTGTAAATGCCAAAATTAAAAAAAAAGAAAGATCTCAAACTAAAAACCTAAGCTTCTACCTTAAGAAACTACAAAAAGAAGAGCAAACTAAACCCACAGCAAGGGAAAGGAAAGAAATAAAGACTAGAGAGTAGAAACAAATTAAATAGAGAATAGAAAAATAGAGAAAATCAACAAACCCAAAACTGGTCCTTTGAAAACATCAACAACATTGACAAATCTTTAGCTAGATGATCAAAACAAAAATAAAATTCAAATGTCAGAAATTAGGAATGAAAAAGGGGACATCACTACTGACCATATAGAAATAAAAAAAAGATTACAAGGGAACACTATTAACAGCTGTGTGCCAACAAATTATATAACTTAGATATAATGGACAAATTCCTAGAGTGACACAAACTACCAAAATGGGGTCAAAGAATAAAGAATCTGAACAGACCTACAAGAGATTAAGATACTAATTTTAAAAGATAAAAGCACAGACACAGATGGCTTCACTAGTAAATTCTGCAAAACTTTTAAAGAGGAATTCACATCAATCCTTCACAAACTCTTCAATAAAACAGAAGACACTCAGAATTCTAAGATGCCAATATTACCCCAGTACCAAAACCGAAGACATCACAAGAAAACTAAAGACTATTCTCTCTGATGAATACAGATATAAAAATCCTTAGCAAAACACTAGCAATCTAAATACAGTAACATACAAAAAGGATTACATACTGTGACTGAACGGGTTTTTTTTGGTATGAATGCAAGGTTGGTTTAACATAACACCACCCATCAATAAAAAAAAGGATAAAAATTACATGATCATTTCAATAGATGCAGAAAAAACAGTCAATGAAATATAATATTCTTTCATGAGTAAAAAAACCCCAGCAAACTAGAGATAGAAGGAAACATCCTCAATCTGATAAAGGACATCTACAAACGTCATAGTTATGGTGAAAGTCTTTTTCTTTTAAAGCAAGGATGTCTACTTTTGCCACTTATATTCAACATTGTATCAGAGTATTAGGTCCACTAGGCAAGAAAAAGAAATAAAGGGCAGCCAGACTGGAAAGGAAGAAGTAAAATTATTTCTGTATGTAGATAACATGGTCTTCTATACTATTAAAATAATGAAGCTGCAGGATACAAGTTTGCAGGCTACAAGACCAATATACAAAAATATTTGTATCTGTATATTCAATGAATATTCATAAAATGAAATTAAGAAAACAAATCCATTTCCAAAAGCATCAAAAAAATAAAATATTTAAGAATAATATTAACAAAAGAAGTATAAGACTTAAACAATGAAAATGAGAAAACATCATCAAAAGAAATGAAATAAAAGACAAGTAAATGGAAAGGCATCTCATGTTCATGGATGGGAAGACTTAACATTGTAACGTTGACAATATTCCCCAGATTAATCTACAGATTCAACATACTTCCTCTTAAAATCCTAGCTGGCTTTTTGCAAAAACTGATAAACTGATGCTAAAATTCATATGGAAATTGAAAGGACCCAGAATAGTCATAACAATCTTGATAAAGAAAAACAAAGTTGGGGAGTTCATACTTGCTGATTTCAAAACTTACTACAAAGCCACTGTAATCAAGACAATGTGGTACTGGTATAAGAAGTTACATAGATCAATGGAACAGAATTACAGCCCATAAAAAAAACCCTCACATTTACAGTCAATTGATTTTGACATGGTGCCAAGCCAATGCAGTAGGTAAAAAAAATAGTCTTTTTAAGAAATGGTGCTGGAACAACTAGTTATCTACATGGAAAGGAATGAAGTTGAATCCCTTTCTCACACCCTACACAAAAATTAACTCAAAATGGGTCAGAGACCTAAATGTATGAGTTCAAACTATGAAACTCTTAGAAGAAAACATCTGAATAAATCTTTGTAGTTTATTCAGGCAATGGTTTCTTACATATGACACCAATAGTATGAGTAATGAAGGAGAAAAAATAGATAAATTAGACTCCATCAAAATTAAAAACTTTTGTGCTTTAAAGTATACCATCGAGAAAGTGCAAAGACAATCCTCAGAATGGTAGAAAATATTTGAAAGTCATATATCTAATGAGAATGTGTATGTGGATGATATAAAGAACACTTAAACAACTCAATAACAGAAAGACAAATAAACCTATTTTTAAAAAATGGGCAAAGATCTCAATAGACAGTTTTCCAAAAAGGATATTCAAATAACCAATAAGCACATGAAAGATGCTAAACATCATTTGCCACCAGGAAAATGCAAATCAAAACTTCAAAGAAATATCACTTCACACTCTATAGAAAAGAACCATTAAAAGACAGATAACGAGTGCTGTTGAGGATGTGGAGAAACAGGAAGGCAGAGTGTAGAAGGATGGAGAGCAGGTCGGCACCATTTTATCATATCACACACTATTAGGAAAAATTTTTAATAAAGAATAAAGTAAATGTAATGCTACTCCAATGAGAAAAACAATTAAAAAGAATGTGATCAGAGTACCTAATAAAATAGAGGAGAACAAAACTACTACTTAAAACCCCTGGGGGAGAAGGCCACACAGAGATTCCTTAACAATGGAAGGAGAGACATCACAGGGCAGGAGCGGGCTGCAGAACAAGGGCAGGGGCTGACTGAAGGACTGCCGGGACCTTGGCATAGCCAGGTCAGGGCCAGGACCCCGGAGCTCATGCTACACCCAGAAGACCAGACTGCAGTAATATTAGTCCCTTCCAACGTGCTGCAGAAAAATATGGGTGTGCAGTTGGAGAGGCCAGAGTAGGTCCTAGAGTAACGTTGGGTCTCTCAACTGTCATGGAGGGAGAACAACTGAAAAGGTGCTATCCTGCGTCTCCATTGATGGGTGAAGGAACGTGATGACTTGTGCAGCTGGCCAGTGTGGGCCTCCCCCACTGTTGCTCTTGGCTGTTCTCCCTGAAGGCACCTTCCCCGCATGGGACTCCAGCACTGGGTACTCTGAGGCAGGCACATGTGCTTCACCACCGGAACAGGGGTGCTCCTCACACCCACACCAACCCACGCCAGCTCCTTACGCACATCAGCTTACTTCTCTGTTCACAGACAGGAATGGGCAGTCAAGATCACCAGATGTAGAAGAAAACCCCAAAAGGGAAGGAGGAGTCCTTGGGGGATTCTGAGGGGCTGCCGCGTCCATAAGACAATAGTAGGGTGCTATAAAAAGGGAGCAATCCAAAACAAAAAAGCTCAAAATTTAAAAACATGACTCCCAAAAGAAGGGCATCCACCAAAGACTGAATCCACGACCTGCAAGGCCAAGGAGAGATGGGAACTAAGGGAAACGGTGGGATCCAGGCAGGAGAGACCCAGCAGGCCCGGGTGGGCCGAGGCAGCCACTGTTTCTACGGCACAGCAGGCTTCCCACCAGCTCCTTCTGGAAGACAGACCCTCCCTGCTTTCACCGGAACGTGGAGTCAGGTTGTGGTGAGGTGGGCACTGACCCGAAGAGGTGCAACCAGAGTCCACTTCTGGAGAAAGCCAGTACAAGACGTCTTGTCTCTCACTGAGGCTGTTAAGCTGGGGCTGTGGGTGGCCCTCTTCCCCTGGGCAGAGTGGCAGGTGCCCTTGGCAATAGTGGAAAGAAAGGCCATCAAAGGGAGCTAGGCAGAGGTGAAGGTTGGGGCTGGGATTGGGGATAGAGGGCAAGAGGTGGCAAATGACAGAAGTGGAGCACATGGGGTCACCACTGAAGCCCTGGATGCAGTGGGGAAGGGGTGTGCCCAGACATGAGCCCATGGCTTCCCTGTTTTGCTAAGTTGGTTGTATCAACAATTCCATCATCTGTAAATATACATATTATAATTAACACAAGGTCCTTGAGAAGAAAGAGTGGCTACAGGAAGGCACATAGCAAAGAACAAAGGGCATTTTCCCTAAGGACAGACTTACCCTGCATACTTAAGCCCCACCAGGTGCCACGTAGCAACCCGTACTGGCAGGCCTGGCAGAGCAGGGGCATGCGATCCACCTCACCAGGTGACAGTGAAATTCTGCTCAAAGTGTTGTACCAACTAACATTCCTTTAGCGTGCGCGTGTGCACACACACACACACACACAGGACATACCCCATGTTACTAGTGACATATCTCTGGATAATTTTCTTCTCTGTAATTTCCAAATTTTATAGAATGAACACATATCAATACCTTTGACTCTGAAATGTATACAAATACTTAATTGTACATAATAGAAATAAATATACCGTGAATTCACATCATGTGTTGTACTGGCTTTGCCCACCCCCTTACCTCCAGGCCCCGTTTACCACCTCCAGCTCCAGGATGGTCTGCAGATGCTGGCACCTCGAGGCCTCCAAGGTGATGTTCACGCTGCACTCCCCAAGAGGGTGAACATGGCCGCATGAGGGCTCAATGTCGAAGGGGGACACCTGATTGGGAGGTCAATCCAGGAACATGAGGCATGAGGCCACTTGTCTTGCCCACCCAGGGCTGCCCCCAAGCTTCCCTAGCTGTTCAAAGAGCTTCTAAGGACGCAGGAGGAAGTGAGTTGGGGGGCACAGCTGAGCACAAGTTGCAGGAGTAGGAGAACAGAACTGAGTGCAGGAGGAGGTCCCCTGCACTGGCCCAGACCTGGGAGGTGGGAGGTGCCCCAGGGGAAGTGGGGAGCCATGCTGGGGCAGGGGTGCACTGGCTCTGTGAGAGGTCTGTCCAGCCCCACCAAGCAGGCATGGGTCAGCACCCTGATAGCTTTAAGTAAGGAAAGCCACCAAGTCACCAGACTGGGGACAGGGTGAAGCCCCACTGGCCACAGATGTCTCCTTTGCACCCATGTGTTCTCTCCTCTCCCCTCACCAGGCCCATACAGGTTTGTGCTCACCAGGCCCAACTCCCCATATGGGTTTGTGCTCACTTACCAGCAGGTCTGCCCCTCCCCCATACCAGGCACACCAAGGGGAAGAAGAGCATGCCTGGGGAGGGCTCTCCACTCCTTCGGCCTATCCCTGCGGGAGGCACCCGTGGGCCACACTGGCTAGTGGGGTATCCTTGGACATGGGCAGTCACCCCCAGGAGGGACATTATCTCTGTCTGGTCTTGTTACCCCATGAGATGAAGGACAGTGAGTGTAGGGCTCCAACCTGCCCGCCTGTGGGGGCCTGCCCCCAACTCCCACCTGGGCTGCCACACTGGCCCCGCCTGGTCAGAGTGCTTGTCTGGGGCCCTGTGCTCTCTCTGCCTCTGAAGTTTCACCTGCCTGGCACTGGCAGGAGAGACAGGCTGGTCTAGCTCTCAGGGACAGTGGTCCTGGGCTCTGGCCTGGCTTGCCGGAGCCCGGGAGTGGGAGTCTAGGGCCCAAGCTCCGCTGCTGAGGAAGGAGCCCCTCTGCTTTCTTCGGTCTTTGTTCCTCATGTGCATCTCCCAGAGCCCTGGGAGTGTGGCTGTGCACTGGGGCGGGTTTCTGTCTCTGGACTTGAGTGCGTCTAACAAGCCCTACATCCCAGCATTTCTGAGAATTCAAAAGAATAAAGTGCAGAGAACCGTAGAGACAGGATTCCTACTGATCTCGATTATTACACACATCTTTTGTACTATTACTGAGTTACCTCAATTACAAAATGTAACCATTCTTCACAGCAGGAGAAAACAGACTGGGAATTAGAGAACAGGGGTCTGAGATGATTCCACCACCTATTAGCTGTGTCACCTGGGGAGGCCCCTGTCCCTCTCTGTCTCTACCAAATGAGGAGGTTAGCTGAGGTCTGTAGGTTTCCAGCTGTGTCCTGGGAAATCCCTAGGGCAGGACTGCTGAGGGCACAGCACTGGGATGTAGGGAGAGGCTGGGAAGGCAGGGGTACCTCCCAAGGGGTCTCTGGGTGGCCAGAGCCATCACACTTTATTCTAGGTCTCTGGCTTCTAAGGTTTCATTTGAAGAAAAGGGTCCTGCCTGAAGATACTGGTATCCCTGCCCTCTGTCCCAGCCCCAGGCTTCTGTGGTTCCAGGATCCAAGCAGGGAGACCAATGAGCCAGAGGGTGGCACTAACTCCAAGCCTGTGTAACAAGAAAATTGGCAATGGCCTTTCTTGGCAATGGTGGGGGCCACACAAAGCAACTTGTCCCTACTTCCAAGTTTCGGAGGCCCAGCAAGAGTGAAGAGGCCGTCAGGTAAAGGAGAGTGGCTTTGCGGAGAGGGATAGTCCTGGGAGCGAACACTGACTGGCAGATGAGATCTGTGTATGTCTGTGACTCCTTCCTGGGCTTCTGAATGTGGAAGGGAAAGTGTGCAGCCTTCTGATGTGGAGGGTGGTGGGCAGGCAGGATGGAACAGTCAGAGGGAGGGTGCTTCTACCAGAATGACCCAGAGCCTGCCACGAGGACGACGGCCTAGTGGGTGAAGAGCCAGTGGTTTACAACTGTCTCTGGCAGGCAGGCAGGAACTGGTGCTTTGTGCAACTTGTCCTGGTCTTGTTCTGGACTGCACATCGCACTTAAATGTGATGCCATAATGTAAATGTGATGATGATAATATTTAGCCACTTTTAGTACTTCCCAATTTTATAGAAAAAAGAAAAGTGCTGTTTGAGTGGAAATGGACCTGTTTTCCTTTTTGGAGCCTGTTGGCCTGGGCTGCAAGCCCATGCCCAGGCACCACCTAGTGGTAGGTACTCAAATTGCAAGCACACTACCGGGGCGCTTGGCACCTTTGGGGGTGGGCTCTGCCTGCTGGCCCTCTTCGGAGGCCTCAGAAGCTTCCTGCGCAGCTCAGCTGCCTATTTTCCTCCTAACTCAGGCCACTCCAACATCCCTAGTTCTGCATCAGATCGATGTTAGAGAAATGAATGTGAAAATTCAGTTCTGCCGTAGAAAGGACCTCAACTGCCTCTGAGTTGGAGGGAACCAGAGCGCCGCCAGGCACTAGCCAGGCAGGCTTTCCTCTCCAGCCTCACTGCTCTGAACGCCACAGGAGGACTGGCTCCAGGGGGTGGCACAGGAGCCAGTGGGACTCAACTTACACCCTCGTGCCTTTCTTCCAAGCAGCCTGGGCTCTCCTTCAAGTACCACGTGGCTGGGAGAGGGCTGATGTTCCGGATCTGGATGGAGCTGGAGGTCATCTGCCCCAGGCGTAGCAGGCCAAACTGAAGGGCTGAGAGGCTGATGACAAGCACGGGCCCCTGAGACACCCAGAGGGCCCTGTCACTGGGCTGCCTGGGAATGGGCTCTGTGCCCTACCCCTGCCAGCCCCACCAGTAGCACCTTAAAGGCTGCCTCGATGTGTAATACCACTGGAGAGGTAGAGCCTTCGATTTCACACAGCAGGTCCTGGCTTGTCGGCCCGGGGACACCCCCCATAAAGTTCAACTCGAACTCCTTGGCCTCACTGGGCTCTGGTGGGGAACAGGGAGAGGAGAGAAAGCAACAGGGGCAGCTCCCCACTGTGGCTTCTTGTCCATCACACACCCCGCTGCAGCAGGCCCTGCCCCCAGGGGACACCATGACCTCACGAGGGCCTCTTCCCCAGCCAGCCCAGCAGCCTCACACCTTGCACACACACACACACACCACCCACATTACCTATGGTCCCTGTGCAGGGCTCCACTTCAATGATGTGGCAGTCGCTGATCTTACCCCATGTGTATTTGATGGGCGACTTGCTGTTGTTCCACATCTGAAAGACGCACCCAAGTCTGGGCTCCCGAAGTATATTACTCTTGCACAAATCTGTGGGACTGGGGGATTGGGGGACTGGGGGACTCACTAAAGATTCTCTTGACAGCCTCCTGGCCAATTCCTGGCCACCCAGTGGCACCAACCCATACTGCAGGGTTTGTGGGCACCGGATCCTGCCCAAGACCCATGAACACAGGGAAGGGTCCACAGCCCTACGTTCAGAGGGTGCGGGGAAGCTGATAAATGACAGACATGTTGGCCCAGCATCTGTACAAACCAAGGTGGGTTCAGAGGCAGGGGCCCTGGGATCAGCTTTGTTCTCTATGCAAGAGCCACCATGGTCCATCTCTCCAGTCACATCCTCCCCACAGTTGTGCCCCAATTTAGCACCATCTCAGCCAGCCTAGGCTGGGAGAGACAATGACCTACCTTAAAATCTTTCTTCACATTTATGCCAATGTAGTTTTCCCCAGGGATGATGAGGGCATATGGTTCTAAGAGAACCTGGAAAGGTTCTACTGAGCCTTTCACCTCGATTTCCAGGACGGTCATGTCATTCACAGAATATGAGGGGTCCAGGTTTTCCAATTCCAAACTGAACACAAACCCACCATAAGTTAGGAGCCCAAAGCCCAGAGCATCACCCTGCAGTTCACTCTACATAACCCTTTGTCCCTTACCTTTGGTTTTGTGAAAAGAAAGCACCCCTACCCAGCTCCTAAGCCCCTAAGATCAGAGGCAGCAGCCAGAGCCAAAACAGTGAGGAAAGCCTGTGGCTATGACAGCCGGCACCCCCCCTGCTGCCTGGGGACCACCCTGCAGCAGCACCCAGCCTGGGTCTCCACACGAGGCTGACTGCACACCCACCTGAGAGTCTGCAGAGGGATGAGCTGGTAGCGATGCCCACCTTCCCGCATTAGTCACCATCACCCAGGGCACCCACCTGGCTGCCTGGTGGAGCAGTAAGCCTGGGCGTGGCTCCAAAGGTCCAGGGGCCTACAGCTCTCCCAGTGAGCCCAGTGAGCTGTTCCCTCATGCAGAGCCCACTCCAGGCCCCGGTGCCAGGGCGAGGCTGTAGGGCTCCTGCGGGTGGCCACGTGGCTCACTCACTCCTTCCCACTGCCTCCCAGTGTCCTCCTCCAGGCCCAGGCCCAGCTCACCTCACGGGCTGTGGGACTTCCTCTAGCACCAGCTGGAGCACACTGTGGAAATCCCTCATCTGCAGGCAAACACAGCCACCTGAAAACACACTGCACGCCAGCCAGGCTGCCAGCCAGGGCCAGAGCCATGCCGGGACTCCCTCCTCCCCACGGCCTCACTGCCAAAAATGCCTTCCGGTAACAGTGCTGGTTCCCATCTCCCCATCCAGGGAAGGAGGGTGGTCCCCAGGATGCGTGCCATAACTCAGGGGCACTGCCCATCACAGCTGGGCCTGCAGGGTGCAGAGGAAAGGCTCTGCAGGCCCCACACCACACTGGATGCCTAGGGGAGGGCAGACCCACTCTTCCTGCCAAAGGTCCCCAGCACCCTGTCCTGCCAGCTCACTCCCATGCCCACACACACAGGGCTTTGCACTGCAGTGGGCCGCGCCAGCCTCAGCCTTGGGACCCTGCACCTCCCTCTCAGGGCTGAGGAAATGTGCACACGGGGTATGGGGTCAGTGCCTGGCGGAGGGCTTTGTCCTACCTGCTGAGCCTGCCCTCCAGACCCTCATTTAAGAGCCAGCCTAGGCAGGGTGCTGGGACTTCAGCAGGCTCAGCCGTGGCTTCAGGATCACCAAGGAACACAGATGGAGGAGGGGCAAGTATCAGGACTAAGCACACGTGACTGCCAAGATGGCACCACTTTACCTCATGAGGAGAAAAGCTGACGATGAACTCATTGTCTGTGTGCGGGTTGAGAAGCCCCTTCTCGGGCAGGATGGAGAAGGCCGTCTCCTTGTCAGGGCAGCACTTGATGCTGTCCGTGCTGTAGGCCTCTCCGGACATGGGCTTCATGATCTGCCAGTGGAAGGGCAGCTCCACGTGCCTGTGGGGGCGCGCCAGACAGTGGGCAGCAGATCCAAGGCCATGCCCCAATTCTGCCAGAGTGAGTCCTCAACCCCAGCTTAGCCTAGCCCTGTGCCTGCAAAGGACCCAGGAACAGGCCAGCCTTCAGGCTCCTCCCATGGAGAAGCCTGGGGGAGCCTGGGTTAGGGAGAGCACATGGGTCAGGGGTGCAGGCTGGGCACCGCCTAAGGGCACCCTTCTCCCCACTCACAGAGGCTGGAGGTTAACACCATAGCAACTCGGGGGAAATAGTAACATGAGGAATGGTGCACTGATCAGTAACCCTAAGGGTCTAGGCAGTCCCCTGGCAGACACCAGGAAAATGTTCTGCAGGGTCTCCTACACATGGATTTTTCAAGGTTTGCCACACTGACCCCACTGCCCTCCACCTCCAGCTGTGGCCTCTCAGCACAGCTCTGTCCAGAAAGATATGTGCCCCTGGCTGCCAACAAGAGCAGTGACAACTCCATGGTTGAGGCTGCCATGCTGCTGACGGCAGCATCAGGGGGGATGACAGAAGCCTGTGTGAGGTCTGTGGTCATCAGGGCAGCCAGTCAGGAGGCTCCTGAGCTCTGTCTGGTGTAACAGCAGTGCTGGAAGATGGTCAGGAGCTAGATGGCAGTGAGAACTGAGCCCACAGGCCATCATCTGTCTGATACTGGGACTTGGATAGCTTGCCCTATGGGCAGGTCAGGGCTGCTCTGGAAAACCATTCCTGGCTAAGGATGGACTAGGCTGATCCAGAGCAACACTGTCCATTGCAGCTTTCTGCAGTGAAGGAAAACAGTCCATGCCACTCCGTCCCATAGGACAGCACTAGCTCCACATGTAGTTAATGAGTACTTAAAATGTGGCTAGTGCCACTGAGGAAGTGTTTCATTTTGCTTAATTTTAATTTCAATTTAAATAGCCCCATGTGGCCAGTGGCTACCAGGATGGATAATGCAAATCAGAATCCTTCCATTCTGCCCAGATTCCTGCTGGGCTCTTGGAAGGAAACTCCTGCCTCACTGGGAACTCAAGGCCAGGTGAGGAAGGAGAAAGGATGTGTGTCAGAGGCAGGCACAGGATCACTCACGTGACATTTCTAATAATCAGCTGTTTCCTAGCCGTGGACTGAAGGTTTTCAGGCTCAAAGCATATGAAGTGCTGGGCTCTTAAGTCTGTGAACTCTCCAGGCTCCGGCTGACTTTTTTCACCAGAAATATAGATCAGATCCAAAGCAACCAGCTGCCCAATTCCTGTTGAGGTAGGGCCACGAAGTTTCACTAGAGGTGAAATCAGGACTCTGTGGCCAAAGACTGTCAGTCCCAGGTCCCCATTCACATGTAATGCAAGGAGCCTCCACATGCAGGTGGCCTTGATCATGACCCCTGGAAGTCCACGCAAGAGGGGAACAGGGGGTACAGACACAGAGTCATATCCCCACACCTTTATAGACTAAAAGAAGGTGATTCTGATGATTTATCACATAGCAGGCACTCAATTAGTATTTGCTGAATGACACTGGGTGGGTGGGTAGATGAATGGGTGTAGGGGATGGATGGATGCATAGATGGTTGATGGATGGATCATGGATGGTGGATGATGGATGGATAGATGGGTGGGTGATAGATGGATAATGGATTGATGGGTGGATGGATGGAAGAATGATGGATGGACATACAATGAGTGGATAATGGATAGAAGGAACAAGGGTATCTTGGGGAAATTTGGCAGAATAACCATTTTAACTCTACAGAAATCTAGGGGTACCACTGGTTGTTCATGTGTGAGTCACTGACAATTCCCCAAAGGAGATCAAGGTGAGTTTCAAAGTGAAATGATAAAAGATATCACCCAAGTTTCCATCTATCTCTCATAAGAAGGCTCCTTGGGACTGTCCTCAAGGCCACAACAGCTTGGGTCTCCAAGTTCTGACCACAGCAAGAGGCCCAAAACCAGACCCCAGTGCCTGAAGGCTGTGGCATGCACTCAGTGTGCCCCCTAACACAGAGTGGCTGCAGCTGCTCCACATCAACACCAGCGCAGCAGCTTCTGGAGCTGGGGCGGCCTCTCCCGCCCCTGGGAGCGCACACAAAGCCCACCTGTGGTCACCAACTCCTGTATCTGGCAGTTGTCGCACACAATGATGAAGGTCTGCTCAGCCTTTTCTAGGCTTGTTGGGAGGAACAAGACCTGGGGGACAGATGCACTGCCCTGTTACCTCCCATTAAAGGGCTTCCACCCACTTCCATCCTTCTCTTCTCACACACACTCCTCCCTTTGCTCCTCACTTTTTACTCCCCTCTCCTCCCAACCCATTGTGCACCTAAAGCCAGGGGTCTCAGCTGAGGCTCCACCCCAGTGTAATGCAGGGATACAAAGAGAAAGTCCAGAGACTGAAATACAAAAATGGCTTTTAGATGATAACATGGTCACCTCATAAATAATAAAGAAATGTAAACAAAAACCATCCAGAACACTTTTTCACTCTTCATACTGGCAAAGAGCAGAAAGTTAGTCATTCTAAATGCAATGGCATGGCATCTCAGTTTTCCTCAACGTAGCCTAGTGGGCAGCATGGGGTTTGGCTGGATGAGAGGGAGGGGTGCAGGTGCTATAAGGCTGGTCGAGAGCTGGTAAGTGCTGAAACCAGGTAACGAGTAATGGGTGGTCATTAAACTTCTATTTTTGTAGATATTTAAAATGTCCATTATAAGTTTTTTTTTTAAGTTTTGTAACACACTGAATTGGCAAGGGTGGGAGGAAACAGGCGCCCTCTCCTATTGTTGTTAGAAGTATAAATCGGTACAATCCACATGGTGGAGATTTTGGCAACATGTGTCACAATTATGCGAGCAGAGACCCCAGAGTCAGCAAATCCACTTCAAGGACTATATCCTGCAGGTATAGACTCATACTTGGGCACAGGAACGTGTGTATGCGTTACTCACTGGCATAGCCGAAGGCAAACAAAATCTTTGCGTCTGTCAGTCCCACACAGCTGACCTAAACTTTGGTTCCTTCATACAGTGGAACACTATGCAATGGTAAAAAACATGAGACTGATCTCTAAGATATAATAGTGAATGGAAACTACACAGTGCAGAATGGAGTACAGAGTGGGCGCCTACTGGTGGGGAGGACAGGTGGAAGTAGAGGGGAGAAGAGATGAGCAGTTGCTTATTTAGGCAATGGTGTATCTCTGGAAGGATGCTCGGAAACCTGTAAGCTTGTGGCCTCTGGGAGGCTGACAAACTGGAGTGAAAGGGAACATTTCACTGTTTATCTATTTGCATCTTTTGGATGTTCAGTCAAGTGAATTTATTTCTTACTTGGAAATATGAAGGAATGTTAAAACAAACTCCAATCAATAAACCAAATACCCAAGGTATACCAAGGGAAAAAACCTCCCTTTGACTCCCCACTGACCCCCCGAGACTCCTGCTGCTACCCTCCTCCTTTCCTTGGGGCTCATAGGAGGATGGAATGAGGGTGAAGTCCCACTGTCAGGGGGGACTGACCAATTGCCGAAATCCACCACATAGTGCTGACAAGGCCTGGGCTAGCTCGGCCCTCAGCAGCAGACACAGGCTGATAAAGCCCCACTGTGGCCCTGAATTGGTCTCGTCCCAACCCAGAGAGCCAGGTTCTTATCAGGAATCAGAGAAGCATAGACATGAATAAGACCGCATCACTTCAAGGTTCCAGAACAAGACTCCACCAGGCACTCGAGGCTGGAAAGCGGTTGATAAAGCCCTCCTTTATACCATGGCAGAGAAGCTTACGGCAGTGGTCCCCAAACTTCATGGCACACCAGAGTCACCTGGGAGCTTTAAAAATCCTACACGCAGGCCACACCCAGGCCAACTAACTAAAAAACTCAGAGCTGGAACCCAGGCCTTGGTGAGTTTGCAAGTTTCTCAGGGGATGGCAATGGGCAGCTGAGTTTGAGAACCTGTGGCTCTTGGCTCTCTCTACCTGATGACATGGTCAAATCCCCCTCTCCAGAACCAGGCAACTTCTACTCTTGAACATCAGTGCCTCCCTCAGCAGGCTAGTGAGGAAGCCACGCATGCTTGCAGCAGCCTATACCCAGCCATGAAAGCAGAGTCAGACCCCTGCAGCAGGGAGGGTGAAGGTGTGCAGCGACGGGCAGGAAGACGGCACCATTCCTTACAGGCTCTTCTGCGGACCAGTGAGCAGGTGCAGTGAGCTGAAGAGCCCACTGAAAGGGGCCAGTCACGACACGAGAAGCCCACAGCCAGGAGGTCAGATTCTGGGAGCTTCTACAGAGGTTCAGAATAAGGCCTAGGAAGGCAGGCCTTGCTGACTCTATAACCGAGGATGAAACAGGAAAGAGCACAAAGCACCATGATCATCAGGTGCTAGCTTTGGTGTGGGGAGCAGTGGGGGTGTTGTCCCAGACAGATTGAACAACCAAGAGAAGATCCTGGAGGTGGCTTAGATGTGCCTAACAGTGTGGACAAGTGATGCACAGGGGTCATGATGGAAATGCTAGGCTTTCTGCACTTTCTTTGTGAGAAAGGCCCTAAGATGGTCAAATGGTGTCACCCCACAGAATGCAAGCACACACTCCTACACAGAGACCACTAAGGGTGGGACCTGGAGTGGGGGTGGATATGTGGCTCACAAAAACAGATGCAAATGAAATCATGCAGGCAGTTGAAGAAATAGCCATAACTAATCTTAAGGAGGAAGAAATATATGCCAATGTCTCATCACCTACCTCTACAAATATGGCCTGCCCTGGAGCCAGCTCAAACACTGAAGGCAGGATTCCAAAGGGAGGTTGCTCAACAAAGCCAACAGTTGCAACAGCCTTAAAGAAAAGCAGATTACATAAGTGTGGAAGAATTGGTAAAATTGAGTGCTCAGACTACAAACTTCTCTCCTGCAAACATCCACTCTGTGATTTGCAGGCTCTGAAGGCTCAAGCAATCCCCTGTCGATAAACTGAGGTCATTCATTCAGTGACTTGGCCTCCACTAGGCACCCGCTGAGCTTGAATCTGAAGATGAGTGAGTCACAGAACATCCCTAAGGGCTGACTGCTGGAGGGACAGACAAGGACAAGTGCTTCAGCCACAAGGCAGGAGGTCTCACCCAGGAGGTGGGCTCCCAAAGCATGGTCCTTTCCCTCCAACAGCACCTGGGCGCTTGGTGCCAGCTATGTGTCTGCCTCCCTCCAGACCCACTGCTGACTATCAGCTCCTGAGTCAAGGTCAGCAGAGCTGCAGGCCTGGAGCCCGTGCCATACCACTGAGCATGCTGGGGGCACGAACCCACACCCACAGGACCTGGCATGTAACAGAAGTGAGTTATGTGTGTCTTGGAACACACGGTCCTCTGAATCTATGGCTTGTTTTCCAGAGACAAGGGTACAGAGATACCTCTGCTATAAGAAAAACAACCAGGTCTGAGTGTGGTCATGGATGGCGTCAGGCTGAGCTGCCCTAGGGAAGGCCAAGCTGCGCAAGTAGGAGAGCATGTGTTCCAGGCCTGCTCCCCAGCTCACACGGCGAGTCCAGCCCAGGGCTGCACCACTTCCAATTTTTCAAAGGGACTGGAGATGCAGATTTTTATGTGAAATCTCCCTCTTTTTAAATGTTGGCTCAAAAAATGTTTCCAAGCATGGTGCCCAGTGAGTATGCACACTCAATTCAGCCAAAGAGCTGCTGATTTGTGGCCACCGACTGTTCAAACATTTGCTACAATAATGACTGGGTGACAAATGCAGTGCCAGGTGGGTCAGGCCTTGAGGGACCAGTGAGGTGGTACAGCCTGCCCAGGGCCACACAGGAATTGTGGTATCAGAAGAATCACAGTGCTTGTCTCCCAACACACTGAGTCTCACTTGGAGTGTGCCAGTTGGAGGGAGGCTACACCATTCTTTTTTTTGTGTGTTTCCCATCATAGGAGCCTGCTGGCAAGTTCCTCATGGGGGTGTTTGTTTTGGTGGACTTGCGCTTTTTCCAGGCAGCAATCTGCGATTACTCACCCTGAAGCTGGGTGGTGGCCAGCTCTTTTCAGGCATGATGCAGAACCTGCCACGACTGAAGCCCACATTTTTGCAGACAAATCTGGTCATCTTCATTCCCCCAATGAGGCAGTAGCCGCAGTCCAAGACCGGTGACACTGCAACCACAGGAAAAAATATGCACAAGGGGAGTAACATGACTCTTTGAATAGGCCCTACTGCCACTGTGTTCCTGAACTCCAGCCAGACCTCAGAGCAGCTGTGGTCCCGCACCCGAGCAGAGAGGACTACCCCTGGTCCTGCACAACAGCAGCGCCACAGGACTCCATGCACTCCTTGCTGTAGCAACAGGAGTCAGTGCCCGCTGTGGACTCAGGCTGCCACCCAGCATGACCCTGGGGGTTGTAGGCAGTCCCAGCTTCCAGTCTGTGCCCAGCTGAAGAGGCCGAGTCAAAGCCAGCTGTGCCAAAGCCACCCATACAGCAGAGGTGGCTCCGCTGAGGACTCCAGGCCCCTTCCCTTGCCTCAGTGTGGCACAGGCCACTCAGGGCTGTCCACGAGCATGTTAAGCCTGTGCTGGGGTTCACTAGGCAACTTAGCCGCTTCTCCTGATTGCATAACCTAGCATCAGCCTCTGCCAGGGAGCAGGACAGTCGGGGCTGACAATAGAAGGCTGCACAGAAGCTGTTAGCAGGTCCCTTCGCAGGACGCAGAAGCTCCTACCCAAGAAGACAAGCTGTGTGCTGCCATGAAGGGGTCCTGAGAGCAGGCAGTCCTTACAGGGACCCCCGGCCCCAACTGAATGCCAGGGGAGGCACAGCACACACTCACATGTCAGCACTGGGGGCGGCCTCCGGGCCTTCAAGGGGATCAAGAGCGTGTGGGCTGACTGGGTCTCCACTGAAATGAAGTCATCAAAATCCCCCAGGCAGTCGGGAAAAAACTGGACAATGTACTGGCAGGTCATCCCAGGAGCCACCATCCCACCTCTTCCTGGGAACATCCCTGTGCACGACAGAAGCAACCAGTGAGGATCCAGGGACCAGCCAGATGCCAGGGCTTGGGCTCTGGTCTACAGACAGCAACCAGAGGCCACAGTGCAGACTGGCTTTACGAGTCAGTGTCCTCTGGGCCGAGGCTGTGCTGAGGGCAGACCCACCTGGGTACCTGAAGGGGGCAGGCTGCGAGGGCGAGGGCTCCAGGTAAAAATACCAGGCCTGGCCGAGGGGCAAGATAGTGACATGGTCCATCTGGAAGGCTTAGGTGGGGCCATGCCCGGTTCTATGGCTTAGAATGTATTCTGTGGGCAGCAGAGAGCCATCTGAGTATTCCGAGAAGGGGGACATGGTCTGGGTTGTTCTTGAGAAAAACCCTGAGTCATGGAAGTGGAAAGGCTGACTGGGAGGCCACAGCAATGGGCTAAGAGGAATAAGGACAGCCTGACAGGGCAGTGACAGCCTGAGGGTGGGATGGCAGGACCAGGGCCTGGAGGAGGCGGCCCGAGACTCAGTGTGGCACAGGCCTTACTGGGAGGAAGAGCGTGAGGGCTCCTGGGGACAGCTAAGGGAGCAGTGGGCCTCAGCTCAGGACCCAGGCAGGAGTCGGCTGGGGGCCAGCTGGGCCTGGAAACATGTCATTCTGTGGACCACTGCCACACTGAGCTCACCCAGTCCCAGAGAGAAGTACGGAGTAGTTGGTGGGAGGACTCGCAGGTAGCGGCTCGTCGAGGTGGTGTTCTGCAGCGAGATTACCATCTGCAGGAGTAAACATCGACAGTAACAAGTATGGAGGAGGGACCCAAAAGGCCTGGGGTTTACTAAGCAAATGGGAAGGGGTGGGGCAGGTGCAGTGAGCAGGCCACATGTTGATAACTGCTGTCCTGGGTGATGGGTACACAGCACTTCATCTCTAGGTAGTCTATCTACTTCTGTTTGGTTTTGGAAAAAGTAAACTACCAGGTAGACTTGAACATGGAAGTAGATCTAAGCTGTTCTTCATCCTGTTTACAATGACAGCTATTATTCATTGAGCATCTGCTATGTGCCTCCTAACTTCAGTGACCAGGAAAGGTGGGAACTACCTCTATTTTACTCTGAAGAGCCCGAAGCTCAAAGAGGCTCCTTAGGTGGTACCAGTGTTGAGACTTGAGACCCATGTGTCTGGTCCCAAAGTTCTGCCCAGCTCACCACTTACTACTGTTCCCTCCCAACATAGCTGGGGCCACCCCTCCCCAGGGGCACCTGAGTGCCAGGGCTCTACTGGGCACCTCTCCACCACTCCAGGCATCCAGGCCTTATCACACACTGCCTGCTTTTCTCCCTCCCTTAGCTGGGAGGCCTGGAACTTACACTGCTAACTTGCCAGCACAGGGCTTAGCACAGAAGAGGAACTCAGGGTATATACAGTTTTTTACTTCTATTTTGTGAAATATTACACTGGAAAAAAAACATAAATTAGAACATGGCAAAGCCATGCTCATGAAAGTAAGCTTATGAAAGAAAACATTAAAAATAAAGATGAAGCTCTGCCCTAGCCCTACCTGATAACAGCTCCATAAATATGAAGCATGTGTTCACACTCATCCATAAGCATGAATACCTGAAGTGACATTTAAGTCCATTTTGGGCCAGCATAACATATACCAATCCATGTGCGAACCAGGTGCAAGTGTGGAGACCCATCCTATGGCTTGATTTCCATCCCTCTGTTATTAAGGATGACGAAAATCTTCTCATGTGTTTATTTGGTATTTGGGTTTCCTCTTGTGTGAGTTTTCTGTTCACAGCTTTTTACCATTTGTTACTTGGTCTTTTTCTTATTGATTTATATGAGTTCTTTCTAAATTCAGGGTACTAATTCTTTATAAAGTATATGTTACAAACATCTCCAAGTTGATAACTTTTATTACTTTTCGATGTATAGTTTCTAAACATTTTAATATAAAATGTATCAGCCTTTTGTGGTTTGCACTTCAGTTTCAAGATTTTTCTATATCTCCTGTTTTCTTTTGAAAATTTTGCTTGACATCTTCGCTGGGAAGTATTTTGTTTAGGGTACTGAGTGAAGTAGGGACTGAATTATTTTCTATGCAGCAAGGACACCTAACATGGTTTGGTCTCTTCAGGGCTGCACATGTGCTTGGAGCAGCCCTAGCGACAGCACGTGCTACTCCCTCAGTCAGGCTGCTGTTCTCTAGTTGACACATGCTGTCACTACAGATGGAAGTGTTCGTGACAGCAGCTGCCCCCGTCCGTGGAGGCATGCCTCAGAACAGCTTTGTTCCCAGCCACAAACATGGCACCTCTGGCCAACGACAGGCAGGAGCCAACAGTTCTATGACTTCTGAGGGGTGTCCCACAAGACGGAAGGATCAGCTGCCCTTGATGGGCATCAGCTCAATGCCACATCCTCATACTGGCTCTTCCTCCTCGCACCCCCTTTCCTCACTCCTCCCTGGAGTTGTAGATGATGGCAAATAGTCTCACATCATCTCAGAATCTTCAGACTCTGCTTATGGGGAATGCAGGCTGTGACAGATGGCATTTGCTGGGTGCAGTATTATATATGATTCAGTGAGACAGTTATAGTGTTCAATTCTTATATATCCTTACTGATTTGTCTGTATACCTGTTTTTTAAATTTTTGAGAGAAAAATGTTAAAATCTCCAACATTTGTTTTTATATCCCTTTTTTCTTCTAGTCTTATAAAATTTTGCTGATATATCTTGAGGTTAATTACATTAGAGTATATAGAACCACAAGATGCTCTATGTTCATCTTATATTTTCTCTGCCTCAGCCCTAGAATCAACTAGTTCTCCAAGGCACCCTTGGTTCCTTGTACTGGAAATCAGAACCGACAAACCAAGATCTGGACACTGGGTGTGCTGATTGCTACTAGGGTTTCACTGTTCCCAGCCCTCTCAGCGGGCACAGTGGAGGCAGACACGAGTGCACTACTGCTGCTGGCACATACACCTCTATCCTTGCATCTATCCATCTGTGTATATGTCTAATACACACACATGCACATTTTGAAACCATGAAGCCATATTTATACCTCAAACTACAATATAGCACCATAGAGTTTATTCTAGTATTCCCTGTTTCCTTCATAACTTCTTTCTCCAATGGTGTAAAACCTAATTCTCATTCATATATTTTTTAATTTAAAAGGTTCCATCAATATCGATACAAGTTTATGAAAAAAAATGATACCCACAAGTCCTTCCCTAAAATGTACTAATTATGTGTGCACTATGGGTGGTTTGTCCAGCCAAATGTACTCAGTTTTACACAGTCATAATCACTAGGTTATACTTTATAATATTATTATATATATATTTCTCATATTTAAACATTTTCCGTGTTTAACAACATTCTACAGGAATAAATACCTTATTAATCCATTTGTGAGCTGTCATTCACTAACTTACCAAAACCCCTTGGGAAATCACACACACACACACACACACACACACACACACGCACGCACGCACGCACGCATGCATGCACGCACACAAGCACACACGCATATAGTAACAAAGGGCACCTTTCATTTGTTCTTGATTTATCTCACCAGGGTAGGCAAGGTTGAGAGGTAGGTACCCATTCAAGAATTCATGTGATTCAGTCCACATATATTTACTGAGGACCTACTGTATGCCAAGCATTGCTAGAAAAACAGTAACACAAACCTGGAAATAATTCTTGCCCTTGTCAGGCTTACAGTCTAGTGGGAAAGATAAGTATAAAAGTGTGTCCCCAAATAGCAAACGGTACAAAAAGAGGGTGACATAGGGTCATTTAACCCAGTCAGGCAAAGTCAGGCTGATTTCCCAGAGAAGCGACAAGCAAGCAGGACAAAAGGGATGAGCAGCAGGCAACTAGCCCAGTGCGGGGAGAATGCCCCACGGCAGCCTCTCCACCTCACCTGTGGGCCACCACAGGGGCACCTGTGAGTCCTGCACATAAAGGTCTGTCACGTGGCAGCTCTCCTTCGGCCCCAACCCGCTCCTCAACTGAAATTATTTTAGCTTCCCTTCTCTGAGTCTTGGCCAGCTCTAACCATCCCTGAAATGTGGTGACCAGACACAGATGTACAGGAGAGAACGTCTAACTGTTAGGGTCAAGGAGCAAACAAGATGCTTGCTTTAGCATCTGGCATCCAGGGCTGACATATTTGTCTGCTTTTGCCACGGGTGGCTAAGAGTCCTGAAGAATCATGGATTTACAAGTGCCTTTACATGGTAAGGGGATGGTCGGCACCAGGCCTAGTTGCCTGTGCACCTTGTGAGCAGAGCTGGTGATCGCTGAGCCTGGTGTTGATCTGACCTAAATGGTGGGAGGTATCAGGAAGGGAGCTGGGAAGGGGGATGGGGCAGGTCTCCACGCCCTGCTCTTGGAGGAGACACTGGGTATACTGTTAAGTAGAGCAAGTAAGGTGCAGAGACCAGTAAAAGGAAGAGGGGGTCAAAGATACCTACGTATTTACTTATGACCCCAAAAGAAACAATGGAAGAACCCAAACTGGTTGAAAAATAGTTAACCTGTAGGGGTAAGGGATGTATAAACAAGAAGGCCAAGAAGAGAAGTTTGAGGGGCAGTTTTTCCTTAAATAGAAAATCACAGTTAATAAATGCAAGAGTAACAGAATTAGAAATCACTGTTTGGTAACCCCTATTTTTTTTTTTAAATGGAACTAGGCAACAATCATCTCAGGCTACTAAAGTCATTAAGTGAAAGGCTGCTAAGAATTCATAAGTGACTACCCAGGCTGGCTCAAAACACCCGAAGCCATTTGTCACCAATAACGGGAAAAGCAGAGAGCACATTTCTCCTGAGGGGATGCAGCAGAAATACAGGTCACCACCAAACTAGTATCCTTGTCAAAAAGAGAGACAGAGAGAAAAAAAAAAATTGAACACTAATCTAATCAGATGAAAATATGAAGGATAAAGGAACCCATTTAATTTCAGCACAATAATGTAACTGACCAAATCCAGGATGTAAGAAATTGCAGTTTCTTCAACAAATAAATGATATTTTTAAAAAGCAGGGGATGGAGGAGTTCTTATCAACTAAAGGAGAAATAAGAGATCAATTTTAACCAAATGTAATGTATGAATTCTGATTCAAAGAAAGCAATTGTAAATTGCCTCTTTTTTTTTTTTAACAAATGGAGGAAAATCAGACAAGGATGGATACTGATATTAATGAATCATTGTTAATATTGCTGGGTGTGATAATGGTTATTTTTTTGAAACCCTGATCTGTTAGAGACCCTTCCTGACACATTAACTGAAGGCTACCAGGCTGCCTCGGCTTTCCCTTAGAACACTCCAGTGTGAGCATGTGCACACAGACGCATGCACAGAGCCGGGGGGGTGTAACGGATGGAACCAGATTTACAGCTAGGTGACTCCAGAAGCCAGGTGAAGGGCACTCAGGGCTTCATTACAGTCTTTCCCCCACTGTCGTGCATAGTTTTAAAATTCCACAATAAAGACTTTAAAAAATCAAGGAAGCTGATGCAGTGTGATCTGTAAAGAAACAAGATTTTTACCTCATAAACGGATCCAATTTCATAGTCTGTGAAAAGTACGACTGATGGCTTAGCTAGAAACACTGGAGTGTCAGCACAACTGAGGGGGCAAAAGAAAGGGAGAAAGGCCGTTAGCACCGTGCCCGTGATGAAATATTACAGAATGGCACATCCATGTAAAACAGACATCCAAGCCATCAAAGACGTGTACGATATGTCATCTGTTGAGTTTCAATGCTGCTGTGAAAGCAGGTTACCAAGTAATTTTATAGCATGTCCTAAATCTTTGTGATGATATATGTAGCTTATATTTGATTTTCAATATGCACAGGAAAAATTTCGGAAGCTTGAACACCAATATGTTAACTGGGTTGTTTAAACAGGTGCTGTTTTTCTTTGCAAATATTAGTCTTCTAATTTTTCTTAAGAAAAAGATATTATTTGCTTAATAAAAAAAGTTAACAGTTTTGAGTCCATTAAAACTATGAACCCATGAGGCAATTAATCCCCTGTGTAAAGACAGTTACTGAACTATAGTCAGGTGCACTCTCTTTAAGACAAAACCCCACAATTTATACTATTTGTAATTAATCAAATTTTAAACATTTCTACCTTTAAGTTCATATTCCAAGACACAGAGGTCCAAAGGAAGGAGCACATGGCTGTAGAGACTCCCCCTCCTTGGCCCAGACTGTTCAGACGTAAACAAACACCAACACTAGCCCCTATTCCTCAAGACCCTGGCAGGTGAGAAAAGCACAAACCCAGGCCTCTGGGATGTCCAAAGGCCATGTCTGCAGGTAGCCCTGAAGCCCCACTCTGTTTTAATACTGACACCCTCCCTCCACCCCCAAGTCTATGATCTTCCATAAGCCAGACCAGACCCAAGAACTTCTGGGTTTTACTCTGAAAGGTCAGATTTTCTAAGAACATGAGTCAGGGAAGAACACACCTCTGTCCCAGCTCTCCCCTCTGTACTTCTCCCATCAGTCCTGGCTTCTTTAGAGGGAAGAGAAGAGACCTGCCTCCGTGTGGAGTGTTAGGAGGGAAAAACCGGGGGTTTTTGAGGAAGTGGTTCCGACCCTCCATCCTGGCAAGCAGAAGTCGCTCCAGCTCTCTCTGTGGCACACGTAAGTGGTTCATCCAGCTTTTATTCTTTGGTGGACTTGCTTTCTTTGAAACATAAAAAATATATAGTCAATGCTAGGCAGAGGGATGCAGTGGACATCTTCGCCAGCTGCATGGCCCAGGCTCCCAGTGCTAACTCTCTTCTGGGCTTGCTGTGGCGCCTGGGACTCCCGACCCTACCACCACCCTGCCCCCACTGCCACACACGCCCCTGTGCACAGGCTTCATTACTGACCTTGACAGCTTCTCTGGCCTCGGGTTTGGCCTTAGAGGGTGACCCGCATGCCAGGCTGTCCATGGTGTGGTCTGACTCATCCTCAAGCTTAGTGAGCACCCTCCTGCAGGTAGCTTCCTGCTTCTTGGTCAGCTCCCGCCTCAGGATGGAGCGCCTCTCCGAACTGAATGTCGGTCTTGACAATCTAGGGACGGAGAGCCCTACGGCACCAAGGAAACAGAGTGAGTTCCACAGAGGAGGGGGATACATCTACGACGACTAAATAAAACCACCAAAGTCACAGCTTGATGCTTTCTCCTCAACTTCCACGTTTCCTGCACTAGATGTAATTGCTCTTAAGCACATAAATGACTCCTGAAACTTGTTCTATGTACTCAAGACTTAGCACTGGGTGTTAAAATATTTGTCCAGTTGTGGGACATGGTCAAAGAGCATGAGCAGGCATGTTCACATACACACACACATACACTAACCCCATGTGTGAACATGCTTCTTAAAAAAGGTCACACAAGGAACCATACCTGTGAGATTGTCCCCAAAAGGTTAAATGAGAATACCCATTGCTAGCAAGAATGCAATGAAACTGGTGCCAACACACATTTCTTAGCACAACGCCTTGTAAATCCTCAATGCATATTCACTCAATTCTTATTTATCTGCCTAAGACAGTGAGTTTCCAATAACTTTAAAATCCTAAGTGGCTTAGTCTCCTGTAACACTTGACTCTGCCACCTCTTTCTGGCCCACCTATTCCACACGGCTCAGGCCATCAGTGGGACTCCTTCCTCACCAGCACCCTCAATCCTGGATCCCAGTCGTCCTACCCCGAATGCCTTCTCAGCTCCAAAGCTCCAGCAATCATCAGAGCCCCACCAACTGGGGCTGCTGGTGAGCTTGTCTGTGAAGCCTGGCATGGCAAGGCCATCCTGACGTCTGGCCATGGGATCCACACAGCAATTTCTCCCCATCCACACAGTGAATCTCCCAAAAATCTACTTCCCTGCTTAAGCCCCCAGGGCAGCCTCCTGTCCACTCATTCTCAGATCACAGGAATGACTCAGTATCACACACACACACAGCCTTCTCTGCCTCCCCACCCAGCCTGCCCTCCATCCTCAAAGGAAAAGTTGCTCTTTTCCTAAATGGGGGATGGAAAGCCCCCATTTCTAACAGGTCCATGTTCTAACTTCATCAGGAACTTGCTTTCTTGCTCCTCTGTGTCTTCAGACCCTTCTTGTGGTTCATTCAATTACATTGCTAAACATTTTTGTATCTCTTGATGTCGAGAAGCTGTCAAGAGCATCATATTCCATGATGAGGAGCTGACTTTTGTCTTGGGGTATTAGGGAGCTAGTCAGGAAGTGGCATGCTCAAATTTGACCCTTCCAACAGTCATTATCAAAATTAAAGAAGGGGGAAAGCTATGAACAAGGAAATGGCTGCAATGGGGCCACTGCGGTCTTGCTTCTAAGGAACTTCCTGGGACGGGTCAGAGGCTCTGGGAGATCAGCGGCATTACCTTTAGGCGCAGAGCACAGCGGCACTGCATCACTGTAGAAATCGTCTGGGCAGATCAAATGGTGCTTCTGCAGCAGCTCACTGTCCACACACCATCTGAAGATGTTCTTCACTATACAGGTGGGAATGAGCACAAAGGTGTGTCAATCAAGATGACACCGAAGAAATTGCCCCCAAACTTCCTCATCCTCCAAGCCTAGACCATCTAACAAAATTCCTTCTCAGAACCCTGTGGTAATTTTGAGATTTAAGAAACTAATCAGCAGGCATTTACCAGCCACCAATAAAGTGCTAGCCATTGCTGTGCTATTATTTGAGCAAAAATACTGTGACAAAAGGAGAGTCTCTAACAAAATATGATGAAGAGAAGGATGGAAGACTGAACGACAGCTACCATTCCACCCTTCCCCGAACCCACACCCTTTGCCACGTGACTCTGCAGATCTCTGCTGCTGGTGACAACATCCTTGACTTTGGCCATGAAAAATGCTTGCGCAGCTGAGCATTCCCTCCTGTGCCCTGCCGTCATCATGAGAAGAGTCCCCCCTTCTTTGTCTTGGCCCCCAACATAAGTCCCTGTACAGCAGACCTGAGCCCAGCCTGCAGCAAGGAGCCAGGCTCAGCTGGACCCACAGAGTGAAGCTGGTGTAGCCAGCCAAGCCCTGACCAACCCATGGGCAGGAGAGAAATCTCACTGGATTGGAAGCTGATCAATGCCTGTGGTTGATGAGCCAAGAATCAGTAGTAAAGACATGTTATTCAGAGGTATCCAGAAGAATTAAAGGCAGAAATGGCCACCTTCGGCAGGTGGACTGAGGTTGGGAGAAGTGAGGTGGAGAATTTTTTTCAATAGACTATTTTTTTAGAGCCATTTTAGGTGCGCAGCAAAACTGAATGGAACAGAGAGTTCCCAGGTGCCCTCTGCACCAACACACGCACAGCTGCCCCTACTATCACCATCGCCCACTAGACGGTGCATCTGTTACAACTGATGATCCTATAGGGACCCACCATCACCCCAAGTCCACAGTTTGCATTAGGGTTCACTCTTGGTGGTGCACATTTTGTGGGTTTGGAAAAATTTATAATGACACATATGGGTGGAGACTTCCTGTATTTCATTAGAAGCTTTTCTAAATTATTTTATTTTTCAAAACCATGTATAATAATATTTTGATAAAAATGAAGGAACAAACAGGGTGAATAGAAGACTAGGAAGTTTTCAATGTTTGTTGCTTGTCCATTAACCAAACGTGTCTTTCCATGGCCTTTCCCTTTGGAGGTGCCCAAAGCCGAGGGCACAGGGGAGATAAGGAAAGAATGCGTGTGCTCCCATCGGGCATGTTAATTCAGGAATTCTGAGGCTTGGCCTAGTTACTGAAACAGTTAGGGTTAGATGAGGACAGAAACCTATGTATATCACATATAAAGGGTCAGAAGGCAGGGAATTAGGGAGTGGAAGAGGGGTTGGGGAAGCTGTCACTAACAGCTTTAGCCAGCAGCACTGAGATGGGGGTTCTCAAGAAGTTAAGGGAAGCTGCTGTGAAACTGAGTCATCGCCTGCTACCACTCCTCGAGGACAGTGGCCTCTTCTTCCAAAGTTCACCAAGGGCTTCACATCAGTGCCCCACCTGGGACCACTGGAGAAAGGTATGTTGTGGGAGATGCATCCCTGGCCTCTCCTTGGCAGTAGAGAGGCGTCAGCACAGAGTGGCTGCAATGCCAGGCTGACACAATCCAGCCCAGCTCCCAAGGGCTTTGGTGATGGCCTATTTGAAATATTAAAAGACAAGCTAAAATTTCCATACAAATGGCAAAGGGCATGTGGCAAGGAGATATATCCCCTCTTTCCTGATACCATTCTCTCAGCAGTCCTCCCCACAGGTGTGGGTGAATGGGTATTATGTCTGAAGAAGCAGGGGGAAATTTGTTTATTAGATCTTTGGAAAGCCCCTCTTCAAGTCAGGCCTGGTCTATGGATCAGGTAAGCCGGAAACCTGGCAATGGCCTTCTGGCCATCCTCCTCCACCTGGGAAGGGTGGGCTTCCTACACTGACTCTCTGCTCCTGAGCATGGCTCTGCAAGGGGTTGGCCATCCCCATCCCCAAAAGATAATGTGGGCAATTTATCAGCAAACTTCTCAGGGAAGGGAATGAAAGCACAAGATGTTCTTCAGAATTCTGCTCTTTCTCCCTCTGTCTGGAAAATTCACATGTTTTCCACTTTATGACATTTGTATTAGCAAGCAGAGAAAGGCTGCTTCTGTGCCTCAAATAAAAGAAGTTTCAGGGGAATGTCCTCACCATCAGTCATCTAAATTACGTAAGAGAGGCTCTTATGTCACCTTACTCCACCCTGAGAAGCAGGAACCACAGGGGTGCCCATGGACTGGGTGAAGGTCTCTACTTCTGCTACTTTTTTTTTTTTGGTATCATTACTCTACAATTACATTACTTCTGCTACTTTTGAAATAAAAAAGAAACATTACCAGCAAAAGACTGAAAAAGCAGAGCAGATAATGTCTGATCATAACTTAATACTACCTTAGGTAAAATATAAAATGAAGGTTATTGGAAAGCTCTCCTGACAATATTTGTTTCCCAGGTCCCAGTATTTTATGTCACTCTGTTGAAAGAAAGCCAAACAGGTATTTAATGTCCCCTGGCCTTGCCAAGGGAATCCCGCTGAAGGTAGGGCAGCATTTGACTCCTAGAGCTCAGGAGATGCCAAGGGACCAACAACACCTCCTGAGAGTCTGCCACCAATAATCTGCCTAAATCCACAGTTGCAGGAGGGGCCCTGGCAGATACACAACTCTGCTGTGGTGGAGGGGAGACAGGGAGGGACGTGAAACCTGCACTGATGTTCCCTAATGGGTCCTGAGCCTCAGCAGTGGGAGGCCTGACCAAAGACTGAGCCTCGTGCTCAGAGCCACCTCCTAAGGGATGTCACCACACCCAGGTGACACTGTGTCTGGCCAACAGTCCTCCCTCCTCCTGACACAAGAAAGAGATGAGCTCTGACAGCAGACACATTAACTTCAAATCTGGGTCCCAGCCCTTCCAAGTTGTGAGAATTGAGGGAAGTTATTTGATCCTCTGAGTTTAGTGGGATAACCTATGCAAAGCATCTTACACAGCATCTGGTCCCTAACAGGACCTCTTATGTGTAATACCTTTCTAAGCCACTATATCTTCCATGCCCCCCTTCCCCTAGGTCACAGATATGTCAGGTCTCCCAACCCTAAAAACACTGCCTTTCTGCCTAATGTACTGGGAAATTTTGCTTTTCAGGGCTATAGGGTGATAGTCCAAAGTCTTGAGGGGGAATAAAAGAACCCGGGCTTCTTGGAGAAATGGCTGATTCCAAGCTTAGGGTAATAAACACACAAGATGAGCTGGAAGATTTCACCATTACAGAAAGTAAGGAACTTATCAAAGCAACTGACGTGTCAAAGGAGTTAGGAGTCAACATGAAAAGGCTCCAAGTGGCCAAGTGTAAGAAAATCTGACCATCAATAGGATAATAAAGATAACTGTATTCATGAAATCCACGAGTTCATAATGATACTGAAAACCAAACAAACCGTGCTGGTCACCTTCAGAAGATGTTAGCGGAACCAACCCATTATCTTAAAATTGGCAAATAAGGGGAAAGAATCTTGCCCAACATTAGGGTAATCAAAGTAGTTGCTGAGAAGTTTCTCTTTACAGAAGTACTCTAGTACCATTAGCATTTCATTATGATATACAACCTCTAGTGAAACAACAGATCCAGGCAAAGGCTGCCAACATCATGAAAAGAGAGACATCAGCCACCAGGTACCTTCTGAAGCAGACATACAGCACCACCTATGAAGTTGTCTTGCCCCTTTCCCCACCAAAATCAAAGTTAGACCTCATAAAGTTTCTAAAACAGAGTCTGGTCATGAGGAACATTAGAGCTATCCTTGGATGACAGGACTGTCAAGAACTGTCAGGAGGGAGGATTCTGGGAAGATGAGGCACAGGAAGCCCCAGAAATCTGTGTCTATCTGGACAATTGCACTGGCACAATCAGTCTAACATAAGTATCCTGGAACTCTGGAGTCCACTGAAGGCTTGGGTGGTAAACTGCACAGTAGTATTCATCATCCCCAGTTTCATGGCAGGCACCTGTGCTTATGTTCCTGGTGCAACCTGCGATTTGTGGGAGGCTGGGTGAGCAAAAAGGACCCTGTCCTCCAAAATTAAAGGATCTGTGCTCTGACTGAATATTACTGCTTCTGATCACAGAGGTGTAGACCAAGAGAAAGAGGCCAGCAGCAACTGTTGTTGCACCTCCCCATTGTTGCAAGCCCCTTCCCCTCCAACTGAAGTGATTGCTAGCACATTTTGCCCCCATTCATCTTTCTCTTTTCCTCTCTTGGGAACAAGATGTTAAAAAACAACTGTATATATGGGGAAAATTAGAATATGACCACGTACATCCAGGCAAAAGCTCAGAGAAGACCTAATGAGACCTTAAGTTTGCGCCTTAGGTTGAGCTTCAGGAAAGACAGCCTGAAACAATTTAAAAGAACAAAAGCAATAACAAAAAACAATAAATCCTGGGGAAGGGAGAGAATCTGATTTCTAGAGTTACCACATTATTATATTCAAGTAGTCAGATTTTTAAGAAAAAAAAATCACAAGACATATAAAGAAACAGGAAAGCATGGCCCAAAGGAGAAAGCATAAATCAACAGAAACTGTCCCTGAAGAAGACCTGATAACAGAACTACCAAAGACATTAAAACAATTGTTTTAAAGATGCTCACAGAACTAAAGAAAGATGTGGAGAAAGCCAAGAAAATAATGTATAAACAAAATGTGAATATCAATAAAGAGGGTGAAAACCTAAAAAAAGGAAAAGAAATGTTGGAACTGAAAAGTACAAAAAGTAAAATGAAATATTCACTATGACAAGAATTCAAATTCGTATTTGAGCAGGCAGAAAACAGAATCAATGAACTTGATGATAAGACAGTATAAAGGAGTCTGAGGAACAAGAAGGAAAAAGACTGCAGAAAGTGAACAGAGTATGGGATTTGTAGGACATCATTAAGCCAACCAAGATACAAATGTGGGAGTT